CGTAGGCGCGTTATGTTTTAAAAGCACTTTTTTAAATGTGTTAAAGCAACACGCATAAGTGTGTTTTAGTACAATAATGCGTTTCTAACATATAATTTTACACGCGTTATCCGTGTGCATTATCAATTCAAGAATTTTTAAAAATAATACTCTCAGTGGTGGTATTTGAATCTGCTTGTTTTATTACTTTTTCTAAGTAATATGCAACTTTATTATTTATTTGGCACCAAAACATATGATTCGCGAAGCAAATAAGAAATTAGCAATAATTCGCTTAAAGGCGTGTTGTATTAATACGTTTGAAACGTGTGGAAAATACACACTTGAGGCGTGTTGGAATAAAACGCCTAGAAACGTGTAAATTCTGTGACGGCGGTTCACACGCTCCAAGTGTATTAAAATAACGCACTTGGATTTACAGTGTATAGGATGAAACTCTTTAATCTTATTGCCCGAGCTTATACACCGATGTCGCGCGTCTCCCTCCCTTCTGTATACAGTATAGTAGAACAACTTCGCATTTCATTCTATGTGTTTGAAGCGTTTGAAGCGGCAGTACTTAGTACTCAGTTGGTTGGTAGTAATGTATTAGTACGAGACAATTTGTATTTCCGTACGCAATGCTTCGTACGTGTGACAGCAATGACAATTATCAATTTTAATTGTTCATTTTATACATACACGCGCATTTAAGCACACTTTTATTGGTAATTTACTTTTTATTATTATTATTATTATTATTACTTTTTATTTAAAAATGTTAAAAATTTTCATGTACACCGGAAGATGATATTTATTGTTGACTTATCGATTTACGTGATAATTATACAAATACGTCTTACCTCCCAGCATCTTAGAAAAAAAACACGTTGCCTAAGATACAAATCGAAACGACTATTTTTGTATGATCCGGTAAATGTTTACTCGTTTCCAAAATAAACGAGATTATTTTTTTTTTCTCTCGCTTTGAGTACCTATATTATACTTATAATCGTAACTCGACGAAAAACAACAAAGCCTATATTATTATTCACAATTGTGTGCAAGTTTGAAGGCTCCGGGCTCGATAACAGCAATTAATTAATACCCACAAATTGATCAACTCGTCTCCTGATCTCTGACTTGACGCATCTCTTACACACTCTTTCTCTCTCTCTTTCTCTCTCTCTCTCTCTGTTTTTGAGACTCTCTTTTGCAGCAATCAATAGTGATAATTTCTTATAGGGAAGCATAAACATAAACAGACGCTCTCATTGTTTTCATCAAAATCAATTATTATAATTTTTGTTAAAGACACAAACTCCGATTACTAGGTCGAGGTAGGGGCAAGGAGGTTGGGGGGGAGGAGAGAGAGGTATTAATACACATTAATACTCGGGAACTGCTGGCTGCGTCGGTGGACAAGGGGAAGGAAGGGAGTGGATGCTTCGGGGATCAGAGAAAAGGAAAACAGAGTTTCTATATTCTCTCGTATTTTCCATGCGCTGATGAGCGGCGGAGCCTCCATTTCTGTTGATTTTCCTCTTTGGGACTCCGCTCGATTTTTCAACGAGTGGTGCTAGCACAGAGAGAGAGGAAGACTCGAGCTCTCGAGGAGATACTCTATACCGCGGCTAAAGATGAGACCGATGCCGCTCGTTCTTTCTGATGCATAAGTACGTACAACCAGCACTGATGCACGTATAGGTACGGCTGATGCGAAAGAAAGCCGGCTTTTGCGTTCGTCTCTCTGTTCGGGAGAATGCTGCGAGAGACATAAGCGGGGGAGGAAAGAGGGATCTACGGAGCCGGCAGATTAAGTACTCCAAAAGTGTGCCCTGGACATCTACATCCAGTCATCATCATCATCATCATCATTATTTTTTTTATATTTTTCGACTTGGGGATGCGGCAGATTTGTAATCAGTCTTTTTTTGTGTGGCGTTGAGCTCGAGGTTGAGCTCGTTTCGGTGTTTACAAAACTATAGTGATACTCCCCTCTCCGAGCCCCTCTCTCTCTCTCTCTCTCCGGTGTAGAATATTTCGATTGGGAGAAATGTGTATACTCGTGCACGCGAGGATTATTTGTTTATTTTTATAAGTGCTTACGCGTACACGATCGGCTTTCAATCCGAAGGAGTGTTTACTCAAAGTGGCACGCTGAGGTGTTAACGCGACACTCGCCAAGCTGCTCGGGTAATCATTTTTGTGTCTAATCGCCTTAACTAAAAAATACGAATATGTCAAAAGCGAGCTTTTTTTTTTTGTTGAATTTGTTTAATTTATGTCTTTTTTTCCATATTTAAAATCATTACATTCTATTTTATTCTGTGAAAAAAAAAAATTTACTATTTACTGTGCAAGTCTTTTGTCTTACACATGTGCTGATAATATGGTATTTTCTCAAGTGCCGATGATTCATAAATATCAATTAACATACGCACCCATCACGTATATTATTACATCATCGAAGTTATCATTTATTTTATTCGCTTTATTACTTTATCAAATCACGTAGACTTTCACGTACTGGTAATCCATGTACACATCTTTATGAATTTATCTACAATTCATGATTGTAAAATATATATATATATATACACATATACTTTGTCTTATGAAGTGTAACATACCCTGCTGGTAGTAGTAGCACTACCTTAAAATGTACAACCAAATCATTGTCATTCACAGTAATCGTGTACCTATAATGTTTTGAAGTATAAGCGCGCGTACAACAGTATCCTGACTGCCATTTATTCTATAAAAGGAAATATAATTTACGAAGCTCTCATGTCATAAGGAATCATTTAATTTTCAAGATTTTCATTTTTCATTAGCTTCGATGAAATTTTTTTTCTCAATCCTTGAGTGGCTGTTTGGTGCACATATGACACATATTTTTGCCTTCGGCATCATGTACTCAATAGAATGTCGCATAAAGAGAGATACCGACAACAAAGTTACACGCGAGCCGGGAATTATTAACCGGAGATCTCTCAGAAGATCTTTCAGAAAAGTGAACATGGTAGGAAAACAGGTTCATCGCTTCACCTGATATATACCATGTATATATACATCCACCTCTTTTTTTTTTCTTCTTCTTTAACTTATATCATCATCGTTACCATATATATCTTTTTCTTTTTTCGTTTTTGTTTCTTCCTCTAAAAGTACCATATTAATTCCTTTATTTCCTAGTATTCGCCATCTCCGCTGCAGACCGTGTTTATTCCCTAGAATTCGTCGCGTTGTATCATGCCAGAACCCAGAATATAAGTGGGTATAGCGATAAGTTGAACTTTTGCTGCTGTGCAAAGTTTCCGGTGAAATGTGGATGGTAAAATAGAGACGCGTATACGAGTGCATGGTGTATACCTACTATATAATATTACAGAAGTAAAAAGAAAAAATAATCGAGTTGACAGTCGCAAAGTTTCTGCTACTGTATTGTCTCGATGCATGTATCTCGTAAGGGTACGATATACTTATAGGTTTCCTCTTTTCGAGAACTGCATGCATGTCGGAGGGTTGAATGCTTTCAAAAGTATACCTATATACTCAATACCTCGTGGTACTTGCTATATACATGTATATGATGATACTGGTGATGCAGAAACTGAAGATATATGCTCCTCTTATGCACGCGTGCGTGTGTGTAGGACGCGCAAAAATTCAAAGGCTTTATCGGTTTAAAGGAAATGCGAGGAAATCTTTATTTCCCTCTTTTTTTTTTTTTTTTTTTTTTTTTTTTTTTTTTTTTTTTTTTTTTTTTTTTTTTTTT